TTTCTATTGGTATATATATTACAGATTACACAGAAAGGCAAATTGAATTAAAGAACTGAAGTTAGAGATATATGAAAATTTTAAATATTTATAAATATTTTATTTCATTGGAGTACAACAAAAGGAAGTTAGAAACTAAATATTTACTTAAAATATTTTTTAATAGAATTTATTTTTTCCTATTAGGTGATTTATCTTTAAATAATAAAATAGTGGAGATAGCTCAGAGATTTAAAAAGTCCTTTAAAATCTGTTTCCTTTTAAAATAATGCAGTGTAGTATGGCTTTCATGATTAATCCTTTATCAATGATATACTAAGCACTAACTGTGCAACTTCTGCAATTTCTCTGTCCACTTACAGTTATTATATTTTTTGGTTTTTTTCTTTTTTCTGTTTGCTTATCTATTTATTTTGTAAAAAATAATAATAATAACAGTAATAGAGAATTGCCACATCTACACCAGGCTAAAAATCCCAAAGTGAACCAGCCTAGCATTGCAGGCTGGGGATAAGAGGAAGGCTTTGTCGGGGATTTCTGCCCTTAAACAATGGTTAGCGGGGGATCTGTGAGCTGGAGGGAATAGCATGATATCTGTCCTTGCCTCTTCTGAAAGGATGGTCAAAAAAGTCAAGATGGCAGCTACCACAATGCAATTGACACCTTGCTGGGTTATTTTATATATTGTGATGCACATAAAAAAATAGGCGGAGCTTCAATCACACCATCGTGGCCACCATCTTGTCCTTGTTCGGAAGCTGCAGCTCTTTGGGCTGAAATGAATCCCTCTAACCTAACTCAAGGGCTCACGATTACCCAGGGGCACAACACTGAAGCCTCAAATGAGGCAACAAGGAAGATAAGGAAGAGGACCACCACATGCCCTTAAGCATAAACCTCTTTGGTTAAAAACTTTACCATAAAACAGACCTACTTTCCACCATTTCACTTTGGCCACTTCTCTGTCAGCCTCTGCTGTTATCTGTAACACCAATATTTACTTTGGGTATGATTGAATAACAATATAAAACCCTTGATCTAGAATTTGGCAAGATTTATCACCTCATGGGGGTGTCCCCAGGCTGTGGGCAGAAATTGTGAGCACTTGAGTTTGGTTAGAGGGATTCGTTTCAGCCCAAAAAGCTGCAGCCTCCGAACAAGGTCCACAGAGGCTCAGCCCTCCCGCCCTGCCTTCTGCAGGCCTGCAAAAAAGGGCTGCTTTGTGAACCCTTTCTCAAAGAGTTTTAATTCTTTCTCCTAGTTGGGGTCTTCCAGCCCCCTTTGCAATGGCCAGGAAGCCATCAAATGCATCCAAACCTGTCTGATTGCCATTATCCTCCGGCAACAGAAGGGGATCAGCCTGGGAGAGAGGCCGATTGAATCAACCTGGTGATCTGAATAGAGCCATTTTGTCTGAAAGTATCTTTCTTCCTTCTCTTTCTGTAGCTACCCAGTAATAACAATGGACCGAGCTGCATCTAAAAATAATGCAATTGTGACCGGCGCACACCCAAGCTATGATGCTGTTGATCTTGAGAACTGCACCGATGAAGTCCATGAACTTCGAAAATTCTACCTGCCACCTGTATACAGCATGATCTTTTTTGTGGGATTTCTGGGCAACATCCTGGCAATATGTCTTTACATTTCCAAGATGAGGCCTTGGAAGAGCAGCACCATTATTATGTTCAATTTGGCCTGCACTGATCTCCTCTACTTAATCAGCCTCCCTTTCTTGATTCACTACTATGCCAATGGGGAACACTGGATCTTTGGGGATTTTCCATGCAAGTTCATCCGCTTCAGCTTCCACTTTAACTTGTACAGCAGCATCCTCTTTCTGACTTGTTTCAGTATCTTCCGATACTTTGCAGTTGTTCATCCAATAACGTCCTTTTCTGTTCGGAAAAAGGCATGGGCAGTTGTGGCCTGTGCTGCATCTTGGGTAATTTCACTGATAGCTGTGAGTCCTGTCCATTTTTTGATTACCTCGAAAACAATGGAGAACAAATCTCTTTGCCTTGACCTGACTAGCTCTGAAAACCTGGTTGTTATCAGGTGGTATGTCTGGCTTTTAAGTAGCTTGGTCTTCTATTTGCCTTTAATAATTGTGACTCTTTGTTACAGTATCATCATCTATACCTTGGCTACAGGACCCAACACTCAAAACCCTTATAAACAGAAGGCCCGTAAACTTGCCGTTCTCCTCTTAGTAGTCTTTTATATGTGCTTCCTACCTTTCCATGTCCTTAGAGTACTTCGGACTGAATTGAGGATGTACCCAGTCAACTGCAATGTTGAAAAGCATATCCACATAGCCTACATTATCTTCAGGCCACTGGTTGCGGTGAACACGTGTGGTAATTTATTACTTTATGCCATGATCAGTGACAATTTCCAGCAGGCCATTCAGTCTCTTTTGAAATGCAAGTTGAACACCTTAATAGCACAGACAGGAAGTAACAGTGATTTCAGTAAGTCTGGAATATTAAACTTATGAACTGATGCAAAAATCTAAAATATTTGCATAAAATCCCCACAACTGTCACTATTATGGGAAATGTGTCCTTTCATGGTCCTTGGAAGGGCCTGGAAATCACAGACTAGTCACAATGCTTAATTGGGCCCAAAGGGGTCAAAGGTCAAGGTTTTGGATCATCTTGGGCAAATTCAAATGTTGTATCTCAACATATATTACTAAGCAGCAACACAATAACATGTTATAAATTCAAGAATTATGTAGGATAAACTTTTCCATTCGACTGTCTTTTACTCCTCTAGCATTTTCATGGGCAACCTATGAAGATCAGGGTAATATACATGGAAAGTGGGAGTGCAGAAAAGAGGTATCTGAAGCCAGGATGCTTGTTGGCATTCAGGGCAACCTCCCCTGAAAGGTGCGAAACTGGGAGTGTTCTAAGTGATGGCAAAAAGGGGTTGGGGAGCATATTTGACCAATGAGTTGTGAGTTGTTCAGCTCCACTTTACATGCAGCAAGGCTTCCAGGGATCCCTAGAAGTAGTCACTTGCTGCTAAAAACAAAATCTGGTGGCTCCTTCAAGATTAATATACTTATTGCAGCAGCATCTCCCATGAATTCTCCTTCAGACTAATTATTAACTTTCTCACTCCCATGGACTCAGTCAGATCAAATATATTTAAAGAGAGCTACAGATGAATGAATTAATGAATGAATGAATCCCTCATCTGAAATGTCCCCTACTATGTTGATAATATTCTTTTAATTCCAGGCAAGGGATGTGCAATAGTGCCTGATCAATCACAGGATAAGCACATAGGATCTGTAAGTTCTAAGACTTAATCTTCTTAGAGTTCCCCATCTGCCAGAATAATCAGAGGCATATCTCAGAAAGATGCCGTGCTTCTAATACAGTGAAGATCGGTTACCTTGCCTTACATACAGTATCTCACTGGGCTCCACTGGTCCCAGCTCCTATCTCTGAGGGCTTATCCTCACATTCTCCTTGCTGCATCACAAAGATGCTTTACTAACCATTTTGAGGGACATGTCTTCATGACACTATCTCCATCTCATCTCTAGCCCATTGCTGAAGCAGTCTAGAGTGTTAAAACAGTGTTTTCCCTCTCCTCCCAACAGGAATCTTATAGAAACGCTCTTAATTTTCTACAGTCAGGGCTGAAGAACGGTTAAGTTCATATTGGTTACCCCCACCCCACCAGTGGCCTATTTTGGCTCTGGCTGTAGGACAGATTGGGCACTGGTTTACAGACATTATCTATTGGTGGTAGGGGGAGGGGACATTGAATGTGTGAATATCAATCTCTTGGAAGACTGAATGTGGATCTTGTAGGACATAGATACTCGCATATTTAAACGAACACCCTGCCCAACAAGTATTTGAGTGATGGATGGAGGAAAATGTGTGGTGTAAGGTAGTGAGCATGCGCGCACACACACACACACACACACACATTAAAAATGTGTGTTCAGTCACTCCACACCTCCAGTCACTCATCTCTACATCTGATGGGGAAAAGGGCATTCAGTTGACACTGAATCCTGTAATGGAATTTATAACCAGTATTTTTCCTGTATATGTGTAGAAAATGCTTCAAGTCTTTGTACACTGTGGCTATAAAGCATGACAGGGTTACTTGTGTCTCACTCATGTTGGGCATCTGTGCAAATGTATTGCTATCCAGCATGTTTTCCTGAGGATTCGTATTTTTAAATAAACAGCATATATGCAATAAACACAACAATCATGCAAAGGGTGAATCAGCAGCATTAAAATAATACAAAAAAGAGCCCAGTAGAGATTCATCAGGGATACATTTTAGATGACCAGGGTGGGGGCCTGGAAAGAAAACTGAAGTTCCAAGCATGTGAAGAAAGAGCTTGTCTAGACATTCTTTCTTGAACAGCCGTAATTTTTTCTGGAAAACAAGAAAGAAAATGATGTTTCCCATAGAGATAAATCATATTATAAGTTATAAGATAGAGGTAAATGTGCCCTCAAATTATGCAGCTTTCTTGACAACAGTGCAGAAATGGTTTGCCATTGCTGTCCCAGTCTAGACTAAAGCCCTGGGATCCCTGGTGGCCACCCATCCGTTCATAGTCCAGCTTGTCTGCACTTTGCTTCCAAGTCCAGGAAACACTCAGGAGGTTCTGCCACCTGCTTAGAGATTATACTGGGGCACATTTCACTGCTTCCTAAAGGAAATCACTATATAATATTCAAATGCCCACCATGCACACATGGTGGTATTGCAATACACATGGATTGCAATAGACACATGGTGGCATGGCAATACAATGCAATACCACCATTATATTTTCAGTTTTATTTAGGTAACTAAGACTTGAAATATAAAAAGATCTAGAGTTTGTCTAAGTTGGGCTAGAAATCCTAGAAGCCTGACATGTAATGGGGTGGAATTAAATAGACTTCACATTACAAACACACACACACAACTTAAATACTGGTCAAATTTACCTTCAGAAAAAAGATTGCAGAGGTGTACAATTTTGTCATTAAATCAGGTTTTTGCTGGAGTTAGGACTCGGCAAGAAATAAACAAACCACTTACTCTTAATAATTAAATTTCAATCTACATAACTCAGAAGTTCTTAAACTTGGTGAACTTGGTGAGGCAAAACAAGGACAAAACCTTTAATAGCACTCAAGTATTACTTGTGCGAGCCTGATCAGATTTTGAAAGATTTGCAGCCTCCCTCTAAATTACTCAGTACTTCTTGAAGGGGTTATATCCCACAGTTTGAAACACCCTGCATTAACTTAATGTTAATTAAGTTAAAGATTCTATTTCAGCATGGTCTTCATGAGAAATGGTAGCTTAATAAACCAACATAGTGTTATAATATAAAACTGAAAGGTGAGTGAGATGAGGACTCATGGAAACTTGGCTTGTTCTTGGTCTAAGCAGTTTTAATTTATCAGACAAAATATTTAAGACTGTTCTGAGCTGTTATGTATGAAGATAATTGTTCTCTGCTTTTCCTTTTCAAATTGGAGGTCTCAAGATAGCTTATTATGTAAGAAATTAGTAAGAATAAAAATTAAACATCAATATTAAACCAGATATAGAAGCAATAATAAAAAGTCAACTTGCACTGAAAATGTCAGTTTATAACAAAACAAATTGTAAACAGCAGATAAAGCTTCCCAGAATACTGTATAAATTTCTATTGATCGTAGATCTCTGCAAAATCTATTTTTCTACATTTCTGAGGATGGAATTTGTCCAGATGTAATGAGCTTTTATTATCCTGAATAGGACTCCAACAGTTATAATAAATGCAAACTGCAACACGAAAAACAAATAAATAGTATGAGTGCTAACAGCATTGATAGGAGATTGACAGGCACCAGCACATTGTATAGTTTGTAGTCTACACTTCTGGATCCTACAAAGGTGAGTTGAAAGACATTTATGCTCTCTAATCTCATTGAGGCTGTCTGTTTCCACAACAGCTACTATCGGTAAAACCAGAAACAGTCCCCAAGGAATGGAATCTCTCCAGCATGGCTAATATCCAGAAACTTATTCATTAGAGAAGGAAGAAAAGTGGTTTAATTTCAGGTTTTTGGAAGCAAGAAGAAAAAGCACTTGGGTCTGCAAAATCGTTAGGGCTAGAAAGCACATGAATAGTGAAGTTTTGAAGACAAGTCCTCTAGCAGCGCAAACGAAGCATGAAGTGCACATACAGTCCAGTGGGTAAAATAGGAAGTTCTCAGCATGTCAACCAGTGCAGGGCGCTCTCAAGAAGAGGGACACTGAAGTCTAGGCACATCTTGCATGGAAGATTGAAGTATGTTAATGCAAGGTATTGAAACTATCCTTTTATGGGTCCAGAAGCCCATCAGCTATGGGCATCTCCATCCCTGGTGATATTTACTTATGTGACTAACAAGCCTTTGAAGCTTCAGGTGAAATCATGTGAGTAAACAAGACATTTCAGCAGAAAACAACCCACGTGTCACAGATCTATTGAAGTTTCCCAAGAGAACTGTCATTGAACATACCTGTGTTTCACTGACACTCTGCTGCTTTATAAAATTCCTTTCAGTTTCTTTATTAGTCCCACAACAGGAACTTCTCTTTTTAATTCCTCTCTCATCCCTCAATGGCTAAAAGAACAAGGTTTTGTTTTACCCAACCCCTGAGAGTTTTTGGCAACGTGACTCCATTTCTCTGCCTTGCTCCTGATTATAAGTGCCGATGAAAAGCAGTCCTTTCTAAAAAAAAATAGCAAATGTGTACGGTGTGTGCTTCTTTCCCCTCATACAACCTTTGACATTCTAGACAAGTCTGATTATATAGTGTCATCCCCAGCAGTAAGACCGTAGTTGCTGAAGGATAATAGGAATTGTGATCAACATATTTGGAGGGGAATAGATGGGGAAAAGGTGATCTGTAGTACTGACTGCTGAATAAACATTTGGTAGTGAGCACTTTATTTTTTATTACCATGAGATGGCAGCAAAGAAAGGGAAAAAACAAAACTGCAGCAAAGTTATTTCTTATTGCAACACTGGATCAGCTCTGTGTATTCGATCAGTGAAACGTAAATATTTTAGGGCAGTGTGTCATTTTCATGAAGGTTCATGCAAAGCACCTCTTTGAAGCTGCTTCACAAAAAAAAAATATCCCCCTCCACCCCCCCGGCTCTGACACACTTTAAAAAGCAAAGTGCTGCATCGCTTGTTTTCTCTGCAACTTCAGGTACCTGGAAGAGGCTTCCAGCTCTTCCAGCCAGATACCAGAAGGGTCATCTAGCTACGGAAACTGCCAGATGAGGCTGGAGGAGCATCCAAAAGTCAACATTACTTTAGTTATATTTGTACACTCAGTACCAGGACATTTTTAAATGGAGTGGGTATTGGCACTAATTGGCCCGGGCCCCGTGTGTGTGTGGGGGCCATTTGAAGTATAATTACTGTTTGAAAAGGTTTTTTTTAAGGCAGAAAACTATTAAAAACTGTATATAAT